TATCAACCTATCACAAAGGACAATCTTAGAGGAGCCTATGTTCTTATGCGGAGCAGAAGCTATTTTTGCTTTTCTTTTGTACATGGCCCTCAATGTACAATACATGATCTTTATGTGAAGGAAAAAGTTTGTATAATGTTGCACTCTTATATTGTTGAGGAAATGTGCACCTCAAAAATCCTACATTGGAGAATGTTTTCATATAGGAGAACCCTCCAACTGATCATCTCGACCTTGAGATGAATGGACATCAAGAAAAAAACAGAATTATAAGTTAAAAAAATAGTACATCTTGTAAAAAGTTATTTAGACCGTCCGTTTTCAAGATTTTCAAGTGTGTATTAATTTGTTCGATCTGTACCATTTTTAAAATTTAAAATTTCCTAACTGAAGATAAAAAAAAGATTTTGAAACCATCATAAGATTTTTTATGCCGAAACAACATCTCTAAATAAATTTTAGAGGTGCACCTGACTTCTACAATATAAAAAGGCAACCTTATACAAACGCTACCCTTTATGTCGTTGTTCCAAAAAAAAATATAAAAAAAAATATAAAAAAATACAAGATGTCCAACACATTGATCAAGTAAAGTAGAACAAGGTGAATACTCGAGGAAAAAACAAAAAAAAAAATACAAAATTTATATGATCCGTCATTGATGTTGCCATGTCAAAGAGCGAAGACCATTTCTCGAAGGTAGAAGGCAGGGCTCTCGTGATAAATCTCTCATAACCAACATTACATAAATAGAAGTCTTAATCATTCTTGTCATTTGAATTTTAAAATGGGCCGTTGTAAGAGTGTCATTGATTCGATACAAAGTTTCAAAAAACATTCTTGAGCCATCCAATTTGATATCTAATGAGTGAGAATGATTGTAACGGCTAGGTACAAAATATATATAACTTTTTTATTGATAATCCCATTATATGAAGACCTTGAACAACATATTATACCCTAATTTAACCATAGAGAAACATATCCGTAGCCCAAAATACCCTTATAAAGGGTATTTTATAGGGGTTATCATGCATTCCTCAACACTTTCATATCAAGGGTTCAAAACCCCCCATATGCAATCTAATTTTTCACTAAAGGGTAGGGGCCCAAAAATCTCCACTGGCATACCACTTTCGAAAATGGCCTGAGGCCTTGACGGTAGTAATGTCAAGCTCCATGGTGAGGTCTTTGACTCCATTTTCTCCAAAGGGTAGGCGCCCAAATCTCCATTCATATACCACTTTATTTACCCAAAAAAAAAAAAAGAATTCCTTATAAAGAGCATTAAAGATAAAATGTGTCTACTATTATGAGCATATACTGTACACCTAATCCCTCAGCCAAAAGACCTATTTTCGTAGGATTTTTATTTTTTTAATTTCAAAACTTGAGAACCACCTAAGAGTTACAAGATGATTATTTTTAGACCAAAAAATTAAATTTTGAATTCCTTAATACTTGGATCTCACCTCCAAGTATTGGACAGTCTCTGTTCAATCTTGAAACATTAATTTTTGAAGTAAATAAACAGTGCAATTAGGAATTTTTTTACCTATATATTGAAGGTGTTACATCTCCAAAATTTAGGGTCCTAAAAGTACTCATAGATTGGGCATGGTATGTAAATAGATAATATATTCCTACAGTAATATAAAAACTTTTCGCTATAAATTCAAAATACAATTATACAAAAGCTATATGGAAAAAGTTTATATAAGGTTGCAACCTTAACATGTAGAATTAAATATGCACCTCAAAAATCCATCGAAAAAGATTGTTTTAATATTGAAAAACCCTCTAATTGATCATTTAGACATTGAGATATATTAATATATATCAATAAAAAAAATCGAGTCTTAAAAATAGTACATCTTGCAATACATTATCTAGACCATCCATTTTCAAGATTTTCATATGTTTATAGATCTACTTGATTTTAACTATTTTTGGATTTTAAACTTTTAGAATTAAGATATGGAAATAGATTATTAGATAATCCTAAAAAGTTTTTACACCTAAATTACATGTTATAATAAAGTTTTGAGGTGCGCCTTAATTGGATCGTTCAATGTTGCAGCCTTATAGAAAGCACACCCAACACATATAGGTGTATGTAGCATGCTAATAAGAAGGTAGGTTTTCATACTGATCATTATGATTCATTTACATGCTACTGAGTAGGTACATTTACATACCACTCAGCAGGATACTAGTACCATCAGCCCTCCGTTAGTGACCATGGACGGCTGATGTCAATCTTTCTCCACTTAAGTCCATCTTTTGCAACTTGAATAGGAGGAAGTCTATATGTGTTATGCTTTGTTGACATCATGCAATGTTTCACTCATGTTATATGTATTGGGTATGTGTGGCCATTAAATACCTTATGAGTGCTTGTAAAATAATATGATATAATGGAACATGAATTCAATGGGAGTGTGATCTTGTGTGGACCATACTAAAGAAATGATGTTTGCTAATACCAAACTTTGTTTGATGGTCTAGGCTAGTGGGTTGAGAAAAACCTATGTTACCTTGGCATAGAATATTAACCCATAAGGGTTCTAATGTGTTATTCCTTGATGAGGTCGGAGTATGCCCGGATGAGTAAGCCGAAAGACTGTGTGACTTTTGTGTGATGACGGCCTTCAGAGACATGGCCAAAACCTCATCTACGTACCATCACATGACATGCATAATGGTAGCGGTTTCGAGAAAGCGAACCACCTTTTAGGGTGAAGCTTATGCATGTACGAAAGATAGCTTGGGTGTCATAAAGTTCGAAAAAAAAATTTAAACTTTGAGCTTGGTTAATAAAATAAATGCAGCCAACCAATTTCACATCCAACGGTTAAGATTTATTGTGACCACCTTGTTCCAAAGATAAATAGTTTCATTATATATTTTCCCTTTTCAAATTTCACCATCTATTTTGACTTTTTGCAACGGGTACCATAGTGTAATATCCATCTTAGAAATGAACATTTGATTCTTCAGGGGGACGCACATCAATAGGTGAGCCAACTGTCTGGCTTGCTATAACCAAGTCCAAGAAAGAAAGTATTCGCCTTGAAGTGAGTTGCAGAATAATGATCAACTAGTGATGGAAGAGAGACAAAACAAGAGAAATGGACAAGGAGAAGGAGAAGGAGAAAGATAGAACGGGAGAGGAAACGAATGGGAGAAAGAGCATTATTGAACGAGGAAGAGATAGAAAGAAGAGGAGGTTGCAGGGAGATAAAGGATAAACGCGCGGGAAGAAGAAGATTGGAGAGAGGTTTCTGAGGAAGAACGCAACTTCTAACAAAACTTTCAAAGAAGTACAATATGAAATGAAACTTAAAACTCATAATTATAAATGAGATATTCTAAGTCATCTCATGATTTTATAAAATAATTTGAACTCTTTAATGATATTTTCTTTACCAAAATTTACAAGCAACCTTAAAAATCCTTCATATATACAACCAATCCCAATGCCAACCAAATTTATCAACAAATTTACTACTAGGGCGGCACCAAAGCATGAATGAGCTTCTCTCTTCTTCTTTTCTTTCTTTCTTTCTTTTCTTCTTTTCTTTTCTTTTCTTTTTTTTTTTTTTTTTTTAACTCTAACAATGAAATGAATGAGCTTCTCTCTCTCTTAGATGTTTTCATTTTATTATAGGCCTCGCCTCCTTTTCTTTAAGAACGTGGATGCTATAATAAAGAACAGTTTATATAAGCGTGAGGCTCTAAATAATCAAATTAGAGCGCACCGTAAAAATTTCAATAGAAGAGGTTGTTTTGATAACCAAATATCATCAAATTGATCATCTCGACACCACGATGTATGGGCATGAAAAAAAAATGGACTTCAAGTTTTAAAAATAATGCATCTTGTAATGGAGTTTTGGACTATCAATTTTCAAGTTTTTATAGGTATGCTTGATCTGTACTATTTTTTAAGCTTGAACTTTTATAACTAGGGATGAAATATTTTTTAAGTTTGCCTCAAAGACTTTCGGTACTCAAACACAAAAAGTACACAAGGAGACCATTTATTTGAGAAAAGTTTATGTAGAACCGAGGCTCTAAACGATCAAATTAGAGCCTACCTCAAAAATTTCACTAGAAGATGTTATTTTTATGCCCAAATAACCTCAAATTGATCACCTCAATATCAAGATGCACGGACATGACAAAAAAACTGCATTTCAAGTTTTAAAAATAGTGTATTTCATAACACATTTTTGGACCATCAATTTTCATGATTCAAGTTTTCGTAGATATGTCAATCTACACTATTTTTTTGAAGATGAAAATATATTTTAAGGCTATCACAAAGATTTTTAGTACTGAAACCATATTTCTTGACACTATTTGACGGTCGGGATATCTTCAGTTATAAGGGCACAAGTTGGTCTTGTTCGTCTAAGCTTGATTGGACGACTCAGAGTATTTGAGTTAGATAATTTTACAAAGTATTTTGAGATGAAATTTATGGCCCCCTTTCCCACTAGGACACTCTTAATAAAAATAACAAAAAATATTTTTAAGAATAAAAAGACCAAATTTCCCTGTAATTTTTAAGGGTACTTTGACAATTTTATTTTATAAAAACTTGGTTATTTATTTTTATAGAAAAAATCTCCGTACACCTTCTTTTTAGGCTTTATTTCTCGACAGACGTATGGAGATCCTATTTATTACATCTTCGAATCCCCCTAGACTAAATCTACACGTCTTTTTATCACAAACAAAAGTACAAAAGACATTGTTTTTCTATTCTTTTGTGAACCACTTCTCTCTTTTCCCGTATTTCTCCCCAAGCCTCTCTCCTTTTTTTTAACATCAGAAATATCTTTTGAAAAATTATCATTTTCTTAATATTGAAAAAAAATGAGAGGGATTTCGTGATAAACATGAAATAAAAAAAAAACATGAAGGGCAGTGGAGCTATCATTCTGCAACAAGGTTAGATGTCAAGTAATAATCTAATAGACCAATAGAATAAGGTGATCCTTTCAAGCCGAGATTTGGTTTCACAGTAATATTACTTGTCAATTTCTCAACTACATTACCTCAATCAAACAGGGAATAGAATGGAAAAGCGACATCTCACATCCTCGTAAACATGCGGCAACTTCATCATCTTTTGCACTACCTAAGAAACAATAGCATATAGAAAGAAATCAAATATGTTTAAAATTTTATGCCAATTATATCATGCAATAAAGATTTATAGCACCTGGCATCCCTCAAGACACGCACATGGAGAGAGAGAGAGTCCCATAATATTGTAAAAGTTGGGGAAATTATAATTTAAATATAAATCAGGCTATGCTGCTCAAGATTTGCTATAAATGAGGCAAAGGAATCTAACTTTTCTTCAAAATCATTAGATGAAAAGGCAGTTGTTACAAGGAAAATAAAACGCAGTTTAGCAATATGGAATGAATGTGTTATTATTGGTACCTAAAGAGATAACGAGGCAGCAAATTGCGATTGAACTTACAATGAATTGAAGAAGTTGGCCAGTTTTTCTTCCGTAGAATCCTCGGTATCTTCTGATTCATATATAAAATGGATCCCTACTTTCTTCAAACGGACACAGGGAAGTCTCAACGATGATGCCCTCAATTCTTCTATGTCTTCAACTTGATCCTCACATTCTGTCGGTTCATCAACGTCTGCAGCTTGACACCTGCATTGGATCGGGTCATACTCGACTTCAATTTCATCCCCATCTTCCAACCAGAACTTCCTATTCCCATAATATTGACCTTCTCGAAAACGGTAAAAATAAATTTCATTCTGGTTCAGGTTGGTGACTGGATAAATTTGTAATGGAATTTGAGGTAATGTTTCGTCTTCCCTCTTGATCCATAAGCCAACCACATGGCGATTGCGAGTGTAACTACTGTGATGGACATAAATAACAAGGCACACCATTATTTCTTTGATACGACGGCCTGCATGTGAAGGCCTAGGCAGTGCGCACGACACTTGTTGAAGCATTTCCCCATCTTGAATCAGGGAGCATCTTGGCGTGCATTTACATGCGAACCAATTTGGAACCTTGCTCCCAGGAACACTTAACTGCACTAAACTTGTAAACATTTCCTATATGTAGTATAGATACACACAATGGGAATTAGCAGTCAATAAAATAAAGGCAACTCAATAACCAAATAGTACGAGTTTTCTTGCGACTTACCTTTGCGAGGTTTTGACCTCTCCAAACGTGAGGGCTGCAACCGCTCAAGTACAATTTTCTCAAACATTTTAATCCACCAACACCTTGTATCTTAGTCATCCTCTTACAGTTCCTTAAATCAAATTCTTCGAGTTGAGAATGGTGAGAGAGGTTGGATATTATTACCAAACGGATGCAGTTGGAAGCCTTCAAAATTTTCAAAGTGGTGGGGAGATCCTCGATAGCTAGTAACTTCTCACAATCTGAAACATCCAGGTCTTGTAGTTTAGAAAGGTGAGCGAGTTTGGGTATGGTTTCCAAAGATCTGCAGTTGGAAGCCTTCAAAATTTTCAAAGTGGTGGGGAGATCCTCGATAGCTAGTAACTTCTCACAATCTGAAACATCCAGGTGTTGTAATTTGGAAAGGTGAGAGAGTTTGGGTATGGTTTCCAAAGATCTGCAGTTGGAAGCCTTCAAAAATTCCAAAGTGGTGGGAAGATCCTCGATAGCTGATAGCTTCTCACAGTCTGAAACATCCAGCTTTTCTAGTTTAGAAAGGTGAGAGAGGTTGGGTATAAGCTCCAAAGATACGCACTCGGAAGCGTTCAAAATTTTTAAATTGGTGGGAAGATCCTGGATCGCTGATAGCTTCTTACAGTTTGAAACATCCAGGTGTTCTAGTTTAGAAATGAGAGAGAGTTTGGGTATGGTTTCCAAAGATATGCACTTGGAAGCCATCAAAATTTTCAAATTGGTGGGAAGATCCTGGATAGCTGATAGCTTCTCACAGTTTGAAACATACAAACGTTCTAGATTAGAAAGGTGAGATAGGTTGAGAATTTTTCGCACACTTTTGCATCCGCAAGTTGCCAGGTGATTTAAACTAGTGGGGAGCTCAGGTACAGCCACCAGCTGCTCACAATCATTTATATTCAGGTGTTCCAATTTAGAAAGGTGGGATAGGTTGGGAATTGTTTGCAAACTTTCACATCCGGATGCATCTAGAGCTTTCAAACCGGTGGGGAGCTCAGGGATTGCAACCAGCTGCTTACAGCTTGGTACACACAATATTTCTAGTTGAGAAAGGCCCCTCAAGCTAATAGGCAGGCCTTGAAAATCGATCTCTAAGAGATTCAACACTTTCAATGACGACAACTTTTCAAAGTCATCAGGCTTCAACCCCTCCAAATTACAATCGCTTGCATCCAACTCCTCCAAGGAAGAACAACCTGACAAAGTAGATAGAATCAAATTGATATTTCTAATTTTGAGAATCCTTAAACTTGTGAGACTTCCAAAGTTTTTTGGGAGCTCTTTCAACCTACTGCACCAACTCATGTCCAACTCTTCCAGATTAGAAAGACGCCCAAAATCATCAGGTAATGTTGCTATAGCAACACTTGCCATTCTTAAATAACGTAGTGACCTCATCCTTCGCATTGATGGTGGGAATCTAATGAGATTCGGGCACTGATCCACATCCAACTCCTTAAGTTTTGCTAGTGAGCCTAGCGAATCTGGCAGTTCCTTGAGTTTTAGACACTGGGCGAGCATCAACTTCTCCAAGTTTGGGTATAGAGAACAATCGGGAATTCCCTCTAGGTTGTCGCAATTGTTGAGATGAAGACTCTGCAACTTCGGGAAAAGCTGTACAAATAGATTAGGCTGGGAGTGAGGATAACAACCACCATAGCATTCAAGAAAAGAAATGGAACAATTGACACAAAATGATCTTAAACACAGGTTAGGTTAGGTTCCACACCGGCTTCACGTTGTTGTTTGACAAGTCAAGGACAAAGTCGCTGAATGAGAAGTCAAGGATAACAAGCTTCTCATGGCTAAAGCCATCAAGGAGAAGGTACTGTAAAGGACATCCTTGCCATCGTAGCCAAACTAATTCTGATGAAATATATTTGAAACTCCCATTAAGAGATGCATCACAAATGTCGAGTAGCTTCAGATTGGTCATTGATTTAAATGCTTGAGTTTCAATTTCAATGGTATCCAAGATGTTTATGCCTCGAACTTTTTTAGTTCCCTAATCGACAATAAAAGTAAATATTAGCCAAGTAGAAAGATGCTAAAAAAAAAAAATGTATCCAGCCATATCATCTTCATTCATTATATAAGTTTTCTCTAACAAGAGAAAAATAAGCTTCTTTAGGAATATCTCACCTTGTTATTCTTCAACACATCAATGACTTCTTCTTCAGACCACAACCTACTTCTCTCTCCAGGAGCATCCAAGTTTTCCAGTTCAACAATCCGCCTCCCCATATCACGAAGTTGATCGTGCATCCACAACTCATTCTTATCAGTAATCTTTATAAGTGATCTTTGCAGTAATTTCCTTATGGTAAGTAAAGGAGGGAAACCACAACCTTTCCATATATTAATTGTATAATCTCTATCTTGTCCTATAAAGAAGCATGCAATGTCAAGAAACACTTGTTTTGTTTCTTCATTCAAATCATCGAAACTTATTTTCAACGTTGGTATGACATCCTTTTCAGATATTGGTTTCAAATTTTTTACTGCCTCGTCCCACTCTTCAAGGGTCTTGTCGAATAAGAAACTTCCCAACACTTCAAGAGCTAGTGGAAGGCCATCAACCGTGGATACCACATCCTTGGAGAGGTTGGCATATTCTTGCTTGGGTTCATCCATCCCAAATGCACACCAACAGAAGAGTTGAAGAGATTCTGTGCCATCCAATTCCTTGAGCTTGTAGATATGAGACTCATCAACTCTCTTTTTCACATTCAACACATGCTCATCCCTTGCAGTGATGATGATCCTACTCCCTTTGTGATACCCATCACGGTTAATAGCTAAATTTTCAAGCTGCTTCTCACTATCAACATCATCAATTATAACAAGAACTTTCTTAGAACCGATCCTGTTCTTAATAACGTTGATACCTCCATCAACATTATATATACTTGGCTCACTTTCATTAAACAGTTCTTTAAGAAGTTGTTTCTGCAAGTCAACAACTCCATTATTTGTTTTTGAAGACTCTCTAACATCTGAGAGGAAACAGGAGCCTTGGAAGCTTGAACGTATTTTATTATACACTGCCTTGGCAAGAGTAGTCTTACCAATGCCACCCATTCCATGGATCCCAATTATCCGAGATTCAACATTATCAATGTCTAAGAGTCCCATCACATCAGCAATGCGAGATTCAAGCCCGACAGGATGATCAGCAATATGCATTGGTGCTTTGCGCTCCAAATTTGTAGAAACATGCTTAACAAGTTTCCTTACCAATTTTGCTTCAACCCTACATAATATATCGTTCCTCATTAGGCTAAAAAAATAAAAAAAGGGGGAAGGAAAAACTTGAACACGTTCATCTTAGAAGTAGATAAAGAAAATAATAGAGATGCAACGGACCCAAACAAAATGGCCTAGCTAATATGAATTATTTAATTAAGTATTTCACACACATAAAGTCGAAGGATTATTTCAGGCTGCATTGTAGATACTTAAAAACAATAATAAAATGAACAAATTAAAATATCTTTGTTCAATCAAATCTTTCCATGGGATATCGAAATAATATTTAAAGGTAAAAACCGAATAAATCGTGACTATCACTAGAGGACCTGAAAATACTTAGGGGCCGTTTGGATACTTGGAAATACATTTTTAGAAATGTATTCAATGGAAATGACACATTTCTAGCATTTGGATTGAAATTTTTGGACTGAAATGTATTTTCGCCAGTAATTGTTTTCTTCATTTCAATCTAAAAATAAAGAAATTTGTATCATTGAATTTACCCTCTGAAATTGTTTTCCAGCAAGATTTATTTGTTATAGAGACATCCAATTTATAATATAAAATTAATTTTACAAAAACACCCACATGAATTAGAGAAATTCTATCCCATATTTTACGTTTTAGACATAGAAAGTATCTTAAAATTTTAGAGAGAGAAACTATTTTTAATTTTAGAGAAGGAAACTATCTAAACTTTTCAGAGAGAGAAATTATCTTAAAATTTTTATAGAGAGAAACTATTTCAAATTTTAAATATCTTCAAATATTAGAGAGAGACACTATATCTTAGAGAGGTGAGTATCAAAAAACATTTTAGAGAGAGTAACTATCTCAGAAAATTTAGAGAAAAACTATCTCAAATTTTAAGTCTTTTAATAGAGAAAGTACTTGAAAATTTTTAAGAGAAAGAAACTATATCAAATTTTTTTAGAGAGGGTAACTATCTTAAATTTTAGGTTTCATAAAGAAAAGGTACCTGAAAATTCTTAGAGAGGGAAAGTATATCACATTTTAAGTTTTAGAGAGAAAAAATGCTAATTTTTTTTTTAGAGAGAGTTACTATCTCAAAAATTTTAGAAAAAGAAACTACATCAAATTCCAAGTAATAAAAAGAGAGACTATGTTAAGATTTTAGAAGACATTATATCAATTTTAGAGAGAGAAACTATCTCAAATTTATCAAATTTTAGAGAGAGAAACTATCTCAAATTTTTAAGGAAAAAATATCTCAAAATTTTTAGAGAGAGAAACTATATCAAAAGAAACTAACTTAAATTTTTAGTTCTAGAGAGAGAAAGTACTTAAAAAATTTTAAAAAGAGAAAATATCTCAAAACTTTTAGAAAAAGAAACAATATCAAAAAATTGAAAGAGAGAAAATATTAAATTTTAAGTTTTAGAGAGAGAAAGTATTTGAAAATTTTTAGAAAGAGAAACTATATCAAATTTTAAGTTTTATAGAGAGTATTTAAAAATTTTAAGAGAGAAACTTTCTCAAATTTTTTGGTGAGAGAAACTATCTCACAATTGAAGTTTTAGAAATAAAGTATCTTAAAACGTTACAGAGACAAACTATATCAAATTTTAGAAAAAAAATGTAATTAAAATTTTGTGAGAGAGAAACTATTTTGAATATTAAGTTTTAGAGAGGGAAAGTACTTAAAACATTCTTGGTAAGAGAAACAATCGTAAAAATTATAGAGAGAGAATCTATCTCAAATTTTAAAGCCTTGGTAGAGAAAATATCTTAAAATTTTAGAGAGATAAATTATATCAAATTTTAGATAGAGAAACTACTTGAAATTTTTTAGAGAGATAAATCATCTTATATATGTTGGATTTGGTACTATCCCAAATCACCCACATAAAGATATCTCATACTATGTGGGATTAAGATATTATCATATTATGCGGGATTGAGATATTCTCATATTGGATTGATCTCATGGTTTTGCGATATATGATTATCAATAGGAAGTTTGCTATTTAGTTTGGACTTCTATTCTTATATAAATGGGATGAAGAGTTTGTGTGCCCTATTTGGGTCACCATATGCGATTGTTGTTTCCTCTAGAGAGAGATGGAGATAGAGTTTCAGTTTGGAAATAAAAAAAGCTAGTCGTACAGTATGGTTTTGATGACGTGGTGTTTTATGCATTGGCTGCCACAAGCCAAGAGCCATTCACTTTTAGGGTATGTTTGATAACAGGAAATTGGAAGATGAAGAAGGAACTTCTCCTTTACTGTACAAGTTTCGTGTTTAATACATATAACTTATACAATAAAGAAGTTCTATCTAGAACTTTTTTATTCCCTTGTGCTTAAGAAAAACAATTCCATCTAAAATGATGGAACATAAAATAGGAACTTGATTCCTCAAACCCTATTAAGCCTTCCACCTTATATTTATATTTATATTGCTAATTTATATTTATATTTGTATTATATTATATATAATATTATTTTATGTATATTATATAATAAAAATAAATTTTAATAAAATAATTTATTATATAATATATTATACATATATAT